CAGCTGTGTGCAGCAGCTGCGAAAAAAGTCAACACAATTCTAGGCTACATAAACAGAGGGATAGAATCAAGATCATGTGAAGTGTCAATACCACTTTATAAGGCCTTGGTAAGGCCACACTTGGAATATTGCATCCAGTTTTGGTCACCATGATGTATAAAAGTTGTGGAGACTCTATAAAGAGTGCAGAGAAGAGCAACAAAGTTGATTAGGGGACTGAAGACTAAAACATATGAAGAATGATAGCAGTGTTCCAATATCTCAGGGGTTGCCACAAAGAAGAGGGAGTCAAACTATTCTCCAAGGCACCTGAGGGCTTGGAGCAGGTCAAGAAGCAATGGGTGGAAACTAATCAAGAAGAGAAGCAACTTAGAACTGAGGAGAAATTTCCTGACAGTTAGAACAATTAATCAGTGGAACAGCTTGCCTCCAGAGGTTGTGAATGCCCCAACACTGGAAGTCTTTAAGAAGATGTTGGATAGCCATTTGTCTGGAACGGTATAGGGTTTCCTGCCTATGCAGGGGGTTGGACTAGAAGACCTCCAAAGTCCCTTCCAACTCTGCTATTGTATTGTATTATATTGTATTGTGCAGATGTTACACAGAATATACATTATATAGAGATCTCTCACCGTTCAATAAAGCTGTCTCATATGACAGTGATTGGAGAATACTTACATTGTCATCTGCTTTAACTAAATCAGTGTGATAAATAACATTAAACTAGAGGTAATCCCATCTCTGTTTAAGATTTAAAATTACATATCTTGCATAAGAACAATTCTAATATTTTACCTTACCTTTGCAATAAATTTCGCCGTCCTTCTCTGTCAGAGTTGTTGATTCAAGGCTTTTACCACACTTGGCACAGCGAAAACAATTTTTATGCCAAGGCTAAAAAGAAAACAAACTATTTCAGATTTCTGTGTTTCATCATTTTCAGTAGATACACATAGTCTTTTTCATGGAGAAAATCTATGTGGTCACTAAGAAGACATGATACCAACTTGATGGCACATAATCAATCAATCTAGTCTTCTAGATTGTGTTTTTCATGTTAGATTACTTCTTTTTAGTAGAAAGCATTTACCATAGATACAAATTCATTTGGGTAAATGAATTAGTTCCCATTCTTAGGTATTCTTTTTTACGAAGTTCATTTTAAAGCAAACAAAATCAATCCAATTCTAACAGGTCAAGGTCATCACTTTCAATTAAATCACCAAGCAAATCCAGAATAGTTTGACAGGGCATTTGCAAACTATTGCATGTCACCTTACCTTTCCAGCTCCTATTACTTTCTCAGCTGCATACACAGAGTCACCACATCTGGAACATTTTTCTGCCCCTCCAAATTTCTGAGCAAATTTTGAAGTATTTGGACTTGTTGTCGGTCGATGAGAAGGTATGCTAGCATGAAAAGAACTGTTGAAATTAGTGTCTTTCTGAATCAGCTATGAACAGGAAGGCTAGACTGAGCTCTCATTAACAGGATGCAAAATCATTTTATTTCTTCCCCTAAGAGCAACTATAGCTCTACAAAAAACTATGGCAAAAGAAGGGTATATTGTTGAAGTCTAGCTGCCTTTATCGACCCCAGGAGAGCCATAAGTCAACTTCAATTGTAACAAGAAAAAAAAAAGGATTCTTTATATCTTGAGCAAAATGGGCGGCAAAGGATATAACACACTGATCTCTTGACATAGATCCATAAGTCTTTCCTCAGTAATGCTTTGGTTATTATTATCACTAAAGTTGTCTGTTGCCTCTGTGACCAGAAAAGGCAAGCTAATACATACTGGTTTAACCCAAGAGGAAATCACTGCAGCTAAAGCTGTAAGCTGGAGAGGAAGAACATACAACCATATTCTTCCAGTGGGAAGCCACAATTTGTGTTGCATTGAACTGAATTATAAGATTGCTCAATCTAACATTCATGTTTAATATTGTAACATGATTCAACCAGGGACTAGATAGAAGTTTACTTCTTCCTTACAGTGTTTCACATGATCATAAAACATTCAACAGTCAATAGCAGGAACTGAGCTTGGCAAAAAGATAATCTTCCTTTTTTGAGCTTTTCTCTCACAGGATGTAACAATCCATTACATACAAATAAAAAAGAACTAGCAATTTTCTAGAAATGCTGGTCTCTTGAACAGCCTCAGATCATGAATGCTCAAATACAGAACCAGAGTGATTTTTATTCCATTTTATTTATTTAAGGTGGTCTTAATAGTTTGTATTTAATAGGTAATACATCTCTAATGTCTCAAGATAGACCTAAGGCAAAGAGATGGCTATTTTCAACATCCAGTTATTTGCTACAGTTCAAACTGCAGCCAGCTGGAGGTAAATAACTGCTGTACCTACTTGTCATGTTTTATGCCAAGCCTTTCTCCTCTGTCCATATTGAGAGTGCCTGCTCCTTGCCCATAGCCATATCCTTTGGGGCCATATTTTTTCCCATAACAAGACTTGCAGTATATTTCTTCCTCATGCATGGCCACAGTTGTGCTATCCAGGTTTTTCCGGCATACCACTAAGGAAGAAATGAGATAATGTTTATTATCTAAAATTAATTTTCAGTAGCTACAGTATGTCTACTGAAAACTGAGGGGGCTAGATCTTTGAATAACAGTATTAAATTCTGTTCTATTAATACATTCTGCCCTCTTTGGCTTTTATGATTTGCATTTGTAGAAGGGAAACCTGGCTAAGTTTAATTTGTGAGGCTATGAAAGAAACATTTCTTTCTTTGTTTAAAACCTCATAGAACTATTTACATTAGTGCCAATAAGTCTAATCATGCAAGAGTTTCCAAGGACACGTTACCTTTGTGTGAAACAACTAAAATATATTGACAGCCAATTTAAATTCATATTCATACTATCTTATTACTTATTCCTCTTTTAGATGTATGTTGCTTGTTTAGTTGGCTGGAAAACAAGCATCTCAGTATTAATGAGCAAATAAAAACAGTTTTTATATAATCATTTACAGTTCTGCATTATACACATTTTATGAAAATTAAGAGTAAAATAGTTCAATTTAGACTTGTTGAACATAGTATTGCTTTGAGTTTTTGTTCAAAAATACTCTAGAATTCTAGATTCTATAATAAATATAGTAGTGGACTATAATGGTTGCTCAGTAAATTAAGATTCCTCCACAACTAAGATTATAAAAGCTAAAACATTGGCATCATAGTCAAACCAAATGTTAATACAAATGAAGATCCATTCTAAATTTCCACGCTAAGGGCATGGAAATAAGTGGTGTGAAAGAATTAACACTATGGAATTAGATCTGTCTCTGTTTCATTTCCTCAACTGTGTTGTTGTTGGCAAAATTTAATGAAGACACATTTCCATTGTGATATCCTCTCTGAAAAATCACTTTTTCCACATTAAACCTTAGTTGTATCACTGCATTAACTTTTAGAAATGGTTTTGTTTTTTATTTTGGTATCAGTTTTTGTTCAGGTACTTAAATTGGATTCCATGCTTCAGTTTAAATTATTGTAATTACTGTAATTGTGTACACTATCATTATGTTTCACACTTCCCTAAGACACTATCATGTTTCCAGTTTTGAAATTCATTGGATTTGCCAATTATAAGTTTAACAGAAACTCTTGAGCTCAATTCCATACTCAGAGAAGATAAACTTTGTACTCCTTCATCACTGAATATATTCTGTATATTTTAGAAATGTATTCCTTCTTGATGTTCAATTTTGTAAAATGTGAAGAAGCAATCCTGAAAGCAGACAATAAAACTTTAAAAGTATCTCAACCCTTGCCATTCATTGCATGGCTTTTTCTGTAAGCATTATTTTTCATGATAGTGGAAACTTGATCAAGCTTCTATTTAAATGTACCTCATAAAAATTCCAATTCAACATTCAGTTTAATTAATTTTTTTCTCTTTTATTTTATATCAGTTACAATTAGCATTTATCAAATGCTGATGAGGTGCCATGAACAGTATAGTTCATCAGCCAATTGTTTGAAATAATTAGAAGATATAAAAATTCAGCATTTTAACAATCTGCTAAGCCGAACAATCATATCAACTCTGTCCTTGACAGTCTACAACCTCTGGCAAAGCCCAAGGGAATTTTGTCTCCATTTGGCTGATATTAGAAAATCTACTACTATAAATCACATAATTAATTTATTTGAATAATTTCTTTAAATGGTATTTAAAATATCGAGTTCTAGAATAGCGTACCAAATGAGAACTGCATCTTGATGGAATAATTATGCATTCTGCTAGTACATTTTTGTCAACAGAATAAAACTGAATTAATAAACTTTATATTTAAAGTAATCTACATGGATCAAAGTGACAATCTTGTGTATATCATTAGCAGATATGGTGATAGGGTTATGGCAATGTTAGTCAGAACTAAATGACTGTCTGAAAGCATTCTTTTAACCATACATTTGTTCTGCAAAGTTAAGAGTCTGCATGAATCATACAGGAGATATGGAATATAAACTTACAAAATACAATCTTACATTGTTTTACATCCTGATCTTTGTTCTTTGGAGCCCAAGGTGGCAACTGTATAACTCAATGGTAAATTTGGGTTCTTGCTATTTATAATTTGATCCATACTGCTCAAATACCGCTAATTCATTCAAAAAGAGTTTCATAGGTACTTACTACAAAGAAAGCAACATCTGTGGAAGCTTCTCCCATCACACTGGACTTCCTCCGCATGGTATACTATTCTGCCGCAGGCTCCACATTTGTTTCCACCTCCCCAGTTTGGCATTTTGAGTCTGCAGAATAAATGCTAACAATTAACAATAGAATAGAATAGAATTAGAAAGAGAAATAGAATATAACTTGATTGCCACTTTAAATGCACACTAATCAGCATACATTAAAATGAAATTTAGTTGCATTCAGCTTTCAATATTACGCATATTATGCCCCCCCCCCAAAATAACACTAAGAAACATTACAGTCTAGTTCAAATGTATACATGGCAAAAAAAAAAAATCCTATGAATTTGCAAGCCGGATGGCATAGGCAACAAAGCTGTTACAGAATCTAAATATATAAATACTTCGAAACCTCCTCCCAGAGGGGAACAACAAACAGGCTGTAAAGTGGGTGTGTAGATCTCTAACAACGCTTCGAGCTTTAAGCACATAGCTTAAAATGTGCTCCCACTAAGGCTTTTTTGCTCTAACCCCCAAACATTATAATCCTTGGAAGGTTTGTAGAGTGCTCCCAGGGGTGGGGTGGGGGGCAAAGGGGGCAGGTTTCAGTAGGCCAAAAATGCTGTATTCAGTGTATAAGACACACCCAGATTTTCAGCCTCTTTTGGGGGGGGGGGTAAGTTGCGTCTTATACTCCAAAAAATATGGTATTTTGAAGAGTAATACTGTAAAACGAAACTATAGGATAAATATATCATTTTTAGTGTGAACTGGCTGATCATACTTCCAACCCTTATTTAGTCTCAGTAACAGAGAAAGTGGGTTCTGTCTACAAAAGACATTGAGAGAGGAGAGAAAATTATGATCAATGCCTACTCTGGTGCCAATTAATTACTGGCTGCTGAAGACACACTTGATAGATAGGCAAAGATGAGTCCATGGAAGACAGGCTTTAGTCGCATTTGCCCACACTGGTAGCTTGTCAGCGGAAGAGTGTACATTTGTCTCCTATTCATTTGGAAGACTGGTAAACTTTTATCCAATAATGAGTTCAAATGTTAGGATGAAGGAACAGTGCTGGATGAAGCTTCCACTCAATTGTTCTTTCAGCACAAAGACTCACCAGTATTACAGGCATCTGGTAGGCACATTTACTGTTATTTCTGCTGCTTAAGTGAAAAATGATAGAATAGTCTGAAAGTGAGTTTCAGTTTATGATTTACTTTTCTTGTAGAACTTATAGAGGAGCTGCTAAGCAATGGTTGCTTAGATGTAAACATGATTGGAATATGATTGGAATATGATTGGAATATGGCTAGGATTAATAATTAACCCCAAATAAAACATATTCACCCATTTATTGCATTGCAGCACATGCATAATTTAGTAGTAACATGCCAGTAGTGCTATATTTTTGAGAATCATAGATAACAGATTTTTGCATTATGTAATGATAAAAAATGTGAAAAATGTCCATGTGCCATATACTTCAAGTACTTATACTTTTTCATAACTTCACACTAAAAATGATATATTTATCCTATAGTTTTGTTTTACAGTATTACTCTTCAAAATACCATATTTTTTGGAGTATAAGATGCGCATCTTCCCCCCCCCAAAAGAGCCTGAAAATCTGGGTGCGTCTTATACACTGAATACAGCATTTTTGGCCTATTGAAACCTGCCCCCTTTGCCTCCCCCCCGCCCCTAGGAGCACTCTACAAACTTTCCAAAGCCTCTGCATGCCGTCTTTTTTTGCAAAAAAAACAGGCTGTTTTTTGCTTGTCCCCCCCCCCCTCAGCTCCCAGGAGCACTCTACCAGCCTCCTAAAGTTCTGCATGCCCCCCCCTTTTTTTTACAAAAAACAAGGCGTTACTTATTTTATCAAGATATCACAATCTCTGTAATTCTTCAGAGTCTAAGAATCTAGATATTTAAAACTTTATAGATTCCTTCATCTGCAGCACCGTTTCTCAACTTTGGCTACTTGAAGAGGTGTAGACTTCAACTCCGTTGAGGTCCACACCTCTTCAGATGGCCATGGTTGGGAAATACTGATCTACAGTATTCCCTGGATGGCTTTTCAAATGATTCACATTTTCATTTCTGTGACACAGGCAAATTACACGTTGGGATTTGGTGTTCCAGTCTGTCTTTGTATGTTTCGGAAAACTGTTCTTCATGAAGCAATTTAGAAATACTATGACTGCCCCTTAGGATATTTCACTGCAGACCTACCTTTTAAAATTAATATAGTGTGACAACTTGAAGAATTTGACTTTAAATGCAGTTGGCCCTCAAATTTCATGTAATACATCTCACTGCTTGGTTTATATACAAGCTTCACACTTATAGTAATGTGTAGTCTGTTTCAGAGGTGGCATTTAGCAGATTCTGACCAGTTCTGGAGAACCTGTAGCAGAAATTTTGA